AGCATGGCTATTATAAAGAGTAGATAATATACAGCTCATAGTGTAATCATAGCACAATGCATTTAACTGCGAGACACGATTTACGATACAAGCCTTGCTCCATAATCATGTCTTTGAATCAAATATAATGACGCAACATCACACTAAAAGTTGTACAAATACTTTATATAACAAACTAAGTAAAATAAATCAAACAAAAGCAGGAACTAATCATAGCAAAACAAAGAGAAATCAACTTTCCGGCCAAAATATATAATATTTAATTTATCTCATGGAATGCCTTCGGTGACATAATGCTATTGTGTCAGTTTCAGTCTCACACTTTTGAGATCTTGGGTATTTCAAACTATTTTCCTTAATTTTGTCCAGCTGAGGCCCAAGAGATATTAGGAATTGCTTTATAATCTCGCCCGCAACTAGGACACTATTGCCCGTGCCTGATGCAGATGATACCAGACATTTTGAAATACAAAGGATCTGTGATTCTTTCGCAATGTCCATTCTTAGAAGAATTCAGCAGCCGTTGGAGTAGTGTGTTGCCAGTCCGATCTTACTCCAATCATACAGACGAGAAAAGTCCGAGATAAAAGTTTGTAGATCTCACTTTTCTCACATACATGTAGGTATTTCCACGAAACAAGGACAACTCCTTCGTACATACCTGAGCCTGGTTTCAGCGTCGTAACGCAATCATGTTGGAACGTCTTTGTTAGACGTTTTTCACCTATGGGTTGAATATTCTGTCTCATGTTTTGGTAATGTCAACATAGCGATAATGTAATAACGATTACGCAGGTGCAAATTTAGGAAAAAGCTACAAGAAATTGTGGACTGTAGTTTGGATACAAACATTTCAGCACACGGACCAACAGATTCTTTAAAGACGTTGATCATGAATCCTAGCCTTGTTTCCTTTGATAACATCGGCTTCGTATACATTCTTTTCTATTTGGAAGAGGCGACAGAAAATAGTGGGGAAAAGCTCGATGTTATCCCGAAAGAACTTTCAGTTGTAAATTAAACATAACCCAGTTTGAACTCTAGCCTTCGTTGGTGGCTTTAATTGTTTGCAGTGTACTGAGTACCACCCTCCGTGAAGGAGGTTTTCACAGGCTCTTCATGTTTTATCGTTATATTTTTATGCGTCTCCTCCTTTGCACACGAATACTTCAGTTCTACAGTGGAAATCATTAAGAGGTCTAGAACAGTTGCAACCCCAACATACGCTATAAATAGAAAACTTTTGTACATTACGTAGTAGTAGTAGTAGTAGTAGTAGTAGTAGTAGTAGTAGTAGTAGTAGTAGTTGTTGTTGTATTGCTATTATTATTATCTTTGTCATCATTATCATCATTATCAGTACATGTAATGATAAATTAAAAGAACATAACCCGCCATCACTTTGTACCTGCAGTAAACGGACGGACAAAAAACCTGTGCGGTATACAAAACAGCTTACAATGTAATGTTTCCGTCCACTGTTCATCATGGCAGTAAATTGGATTCACTATGGTGCTTTTATAATAATGTACATCATGACACAAGAAATCTCAGTAATGGTGTCTTGAATCTAGAGTTCTTGGTATTTGAAACCAATTCTGAGGGCTTTTTATATTTTTCAAACTTTCTGAACTGGCCAGTAATAAATAATGTCCGTCTGAATTAAAGCACCAGAAAACTGAGATCAAACCAATGTTGTTCTCAT